TCCAAAAATTACCGTGCCTCCCAGAGAACAAGTAAGACTACAGGAAGAGAAGTGCAGAAGTTCCGCAGGTTAAGACTGTCACCACATGTGAGCACAATGCTCCAGCAAGTGACAGGCACAGACCCACACATATATTCTAACTGCTTTTTGGTACAGATTCTTTTCCAGGCTTTGTAACTATATTCTGACTGCTAGCTCCACATAGTACTCCCACATGTTGAAGTCACAGCCGATCATATGTGACTACCATAATCCCATGGGGGATTGCATATTACGAAGAAGTCGCTGCCACACGCATTGATGTGGGGGGAAGATGCTTCAGAGGTGTGCAGAAACAATCAGAGGAGCTGGACCAGCATTGGCCCAACAGCGCTTCAGACTTGTGGCACGGCAACGCAGCACTGCATTGCCGTGGAGACTCCTCCCTCGACGCCTACTTGGAAGGCAGTGCGCTGTTGTTGTCGTTGCCGTTGCCATTGCCGTTGTTGTTGTTGTTGTTGTTGCTGCTGCTGCTGCTGCTGCTACCTGCTGCTGGGTCTGTGGCTGTTTCTGGTCACTTCCCAACATCCCACGAAAGAAGTGTGCAGCTGGTTTTGAACTGCAAGGCCTCTCTTCATCTGAGCCCGTCATATCGCCGGGACAAGGCTTTTCGTGTGTGATTGGCGTGCCCGTCTACGGCCGGCTACAAGCGGCTTGCGTGCCACCCCACGGGGCGGCTGCAAGGCGCTTGCTGGCCAGCTGCAGACCGGCTGCCACTGCTATAGCAAGATGACGCGCGCGAACGACGTCGCCTCGAAGACTCACTGTAATGCATACACGTGCTGATGTCCTGACTAGGGTGGTCTTATCCATACATGCCACGCTACACGTGTTACGCTTGATATATACCTAATACCTACATAAACCAACAAGGCCTTTTATGTTTGACTGCCTCTCAAGCCTTCTGCGAACGAGCGCTTCTGTCGTGACTCCTGTCGTCCGAGCTGCTCTATATGCCGCCGGCGGTGTCCGTGTTCAAGCCTCGGTGATTGCGTTGGGCGCGGTCCCATGGTCAAAACAACGGCCACACTGCACTATGCCACCATACTGTAGTGCACACCACATATGTCAGCTTTCATTCACGGTCTTGCGGCATTCATCTTCGAGCCATGTCCGGCTGGGAAAACATCTCTGAGTGCACGGATGCGTCGGTGGATGATCCGGAAGATCCGGATACATCGCCCGCCACTGGGCCGGACGACGCTGTGGAGATAGACATCCAAACCACAACTCCGTCGGGTCTGTGGACTTTGCGCCCGTGGCCACTGGATGAGAGCCCTGCTGCCCCCAACCTTCTCCGCCAGCAATTCGATCGGCGCCGGTCCGCCGCTGCTGCAGCCTCCGAACATGCACCTTCGGCGGCTTTGTCTGCTACGGGCGACGCCGAGCGCGTCCGGGTCCTGGAGGAACAGCTCCGGAAAGTCACTGAGAAAGCAGCTCGAGCGCGCAAGGCAAAGAGCAAGCGCGAAAAGAAGAGGAAGGCCAAAAAGAAGGATATGGCCAAGGCTGCCAAGTGTCAACTCGAGAGCAGCAAAGACTGAGCCGAGCAGCTGCCGCCTGGACGAAAAGGTGCGCCTGCAGAGCGAGTTGAAACTTAGAAACGTTTTCCTGACAGCTTACAGCAGTCTCAGTTTGTGCTTGCATTTGAATTACATTGGACCATCGAGTCTTTGGACGCATGCTTTTGGTTACACTGCTGCACGGGTTCCCATGTAGCAAGCACGCGTGCATGTGCGCACCGCGCCCCCGCACCTACAAGCCTTTGCCAACTTGCGAACATCCATACGCATCTGTAGTATACTGTCCCTGGAAGAACACTTAGCGGCCAGAAAAACATGTGGTGTGGAGGTCAATCTCATAAGAAGCCAGCTGGATGCCCGATTCCTTAAAAGTCTCTAAGTGAAAGGCACGTTTTGACTCAAGCTTGGCAGCCCGACGGCGCTGCCCGGTCCACTTGTGAACTAATTCGACTAATTCGGGTCACGTCTACATGGGCATGGCCTGTATGTGTGCACGCAAAATCCTCTGAGCAAACAAACCACGGCTAGATTCTTTCACTCTTGCAGCCCTTTGCAGCGCCATGGCTGAATGGGTAGATATACCCGGTGCCATTCGAGTAGCAGATCCTGCTGGATTGTTGGCTGATTGTGACATCAATGCTGTAGCCGCCTCTGTGCAGACATATCTGAACACTTGGGCCTTTACTTGGTCAGGGCCTTGCCCTGGATGTCAGCACATCCCTCCATTGGTTCCTGCAAAGCGGCGCAAGAGTGTCATTCTGGATGTGGATGGTCTCCACCATGCCACTCACACCCCCAGACGATGTCGCCGCCGCGACTGTCCTGAACGGGGCTTCTATTTGTGGTGCAGCTTTCAAGTTCATGGTCGTAAGGTCCTTCGGTGGCGGTCTGCGGTGAAGGCGCTGCCATCTGTCATCCTACTCACCCAGCGATTTGGGGTCACTCGACGTTGGTACCAGCAATTCTCCAAGCGGTTGGTCGTTCAGATGGCCTCTTTCTGGGGCGAGGCGAAAGTGCATTGGCAGCCGGGCTTTCGACTGTCTTTCAACCGCTTCAAGTTAAAGCTTGAGGATGCTTGGTTCAAAATCCGGCTCCTGGAGCGATATTGGCAAGTACAACCGCGTGTGCATATGTCTTTGTCAGCCGACAAAGAACACCTCATTCGACAAGTCGGAGATGCCTATGACGCGTTCATGATGAAGATCAGGAAGAGTCAAGTCACTTGCTCAGACAAGCCTCTATTGGGATTAGTCATAGACGGTCACGTCAAAGCTGGCGCACGGAGGCGTTGTGGAGTTCCATCGGTTTCTGCTACCTTGTGCCAGCCCTTGCAGGCATGGTCCTTGACCACTTGCCCTCGCACACCAGCCTACAAGCACAAGTTTTGCCCCTGGCATGTTCGCTGTCTGGCAGCTTTTGACGCAGAACCAACAGCTGTTCACTCTGTGTCTCGAGCTGCTTCCTTGGCTCAGAGCGGCGATGATCTCTTGCGTGTGATCCTGTCTCAACGTGGCGAGCATGCAGAGAAAGAGCTCAGTAAACTCACACGCACCGAGAACATGCTGGTTCAAGGGTATTTGACTGCTTGTCACCGAGCCAAAAGCCTACAGCGGGTGGAGCCTGTGATTCATGACGGAACCACACTGCAAGAGCTTTTGGATTTGCAATGCCAAACTCACAAGCAAGGGGATACGGGTGCGAAAAGTCATCGGGCCGGCGGACTTCTGGTGGCGCGTCGAAGTGATGGCTTGATAGTTCATGTGCAAGAATATCACGGTGCAGAATCCCTGTCCCAACGCTATGCTTTCATTGCCCACCTCAAAGCCACGCACTCCAGCCTCCAGGTGTTGGTCCATGATGACGCCTGTCACTTGCGCAGATTTGCCCACAACCGTTTTGCGGCCGCAAGCAGGAAGCACACGTATACGTGACCATAAGCGTAAATAATGTCTATCTTTAGCCCTTTTGGTTGTGCTGCGCAGATCCCAGTAAGGTAAGCATTGGAATGCACTGGCCGAATCCCTCGCCTACCCGCAAATGAAATACATCGTGGACAAGTTTCACAGCAGGGGCCATGTCGATGCTTGGTGTGTAGCCAATTGCGGGCCTAACGTGCCTGAAAACAGCGAGGTTGTCACTGAGATAAACACATCCATCTGCGAGATCACGTTTGCGTGGCTGGCTCGATTCAAGCACATGACGCGCAAGATGAATCAATTCTCCTTCTGGTTCTTCGTCCAGGAAGTCGTGTACGAAAGGAACATGACCTTACTCAGTAAGCATGGCGGAACTTGGCCGATGGATGTCAATCCTCCTGCTGCCGATGGGGCCTCTACTTCGGAATCTGAGTCTTGCGCTGAGGCGTCGTCCAGCGGCTCCTGTTCAGACAGTGCGTCCAGTGAAATGTCTTGATCTTGCCCGGCAAAAAGCTATGCTTTGCCTGTGTGGTTGGCGTGCCCGTCCACAGCCGGCTGCAAACAGCCTGCGTGCCACTCCACGTTCTGGGGTGGCTGCAAAGCGCTTGCTTGCCAGCTGCGGACCGGCTGCCAATTGCGCGACCGCTGTTGCTCACTTGCTTCTGGGACGAGATGCTTTGGCTTTTCCATGTTCTTCTTGCCTATGGGACGAGCAAGAAAGTGTGAAGTTTGCACTCACCATCCACACTCTAATTAGTCTCAGCCATGCGATACATGAGCCTACACAATATAGGCACTTGTGTCGCGGTGCTCGAGAAAGCTTTGCCGTTAGGGCATCTTGGGTTCAAGTCTGCATGCGCTGCATGCCTGCACAGTGACACAGTTAACCTGAAGCGACCAAAATCCATTTGGTTTCATGTACCAGACATGAACTGGTTCAGTAAGCATGGCGGAGCCGGGCCGATAGATGTCAATCCTCTTGCCGCCGATGTGGCTTCTACACTTCCGAATCTGAGTTTTGCGCTGAGGCATCGTCAAGCGGCTCCTCTTTGCAGACACGACGGCCTGTGAAATGTGGTTCTGGCCCGCAAAAAGTTCCCGTTTAGCCTGTCCCATTGGTGTGCCCGTCCGCAACCGGCTGCAAGCACACTGCGTGCCGCTCCACATTCTGGGGCGGCTGCAAGGCGCTTGCGTGCCAGCTGCGGGCCGGCTGCCAATTGCGGGACCGCTGTTGCTCACTGCTTCTGGGATGACATGCTTTGGCTTTGCCATGTTCTACTTGCATTTGGGATGAGCAAGAACATGTGACCTTTTCACATCTTAGGCCTACTAAAAGATTGTCTCAGCCATGCAAAACACGCCTGCACTTCACTATAGGCACTTGTGTCACGGTGCTACAACGAGCTTTGCTGTTTGGGATTCGTGGGTTCAAGCCTACATGCGCTGCGCGCCTGCGCCCTGACACAGCTAAACGACGAACATAGATTTTGACTTAGGCGGTGTGGAGGCCCTCCTTGCTAGCGCAATGCCCCGCAGCTCGAATGCCACTTCCAGACAGCAGTTCAAGGAGGAAATGCGTGCTGCCTGGGAGGCAGTTGACAAGTTGCTAGACCCAGAGCTGGTTTTTGGCAAGCGCCGTGGCCGCAGAGCGTCCTTAGCCTTGCAGTCGCGGTTCTTTGTTTGATCTCACTTTTCCTCTTCTTGCACGCGTTGCCAGTGTTCTAGCATATGGGGCGGAAATCTTTGATGTGGTTTGTCAATTTTGGCAGTCAGTGGGGCGCTCCATGCCAGGCACGGCTACCAGTTTCTCTTGACGCACGCCATCCGCTCAAGCAACCACCCCTTTGTCACAGGCATGACATTCTTGGGTGCTCTGGCTCCTCTCATGAATGGTGCGGCCGTTCAAGTTTTTCCTGGAGATGCGTCCCCCGTCAACTTCATTGCCACGTTAGTGAACTATCCTCAAACACGCAAATCCCAGAACACAAAGTTGGTCAAGATTTTGGCGGACGCGCTAGATGCGCATGTTGCGGCTTTGGCCGACGAAGCTGTTTCTCGCAGCCTTTCTGAGCAGGGCGACGCAGGTCAACAGCAAGCAGACACAGCCAGTGCCAAAAGGCCTCGATTGCGCGTGGCCAGTTCAACTATCACGTGCTTCACGCCCGAAGTGTTTTTCGAGCGCTTCTCTGGCGACTTTCAACAACTGCACAATGCCGACGACCTCGGTGTGCCGGACGGGCCGCTGTGTCACAGCCATCTTTTCGAGCTGCGTGCGCCGGTTTCGATTTCAATCGCGGCTGCGCTTCCCTTGTGTGCCACTCCGCGACACTGCGACGGAGCGGCTGCAAGGGAGCTGTGTGCCAGCGATTGCCACACAATTCCTCAGATCGTGTCGGTCGCAGGTCTGACTTTCATGCTTTTGTCCGTTGGTCTTTTTCGCGCAGGAACTCAATGCCTCCTTCCACTTTGGCCGCATCGCAAATGTGGACGAAGCGTATGCCACCTTTGCGGCATTTGGCCTCATCGCTGACGATTCTCGCAAAGGTGCGGCCGCTGCATTGGCGGTCAACCAGCATGCGGGCGCCCTGAACCGCTTGCTCCAGTTTGGAGAATGCTCCAAAACTACAAAAACAAGAGGGTCGTTTGGCGAAGGGACCACCCCGGCAGTGAGCTCCACGATCATGTCAAATATGCATCCGGAAGTTGCAGTGCCCATGGAGAGGGCGGAAATTGGCAACCACGTTGGGTGCACGAAGGAGCGAATTGTCTTTTACACGGCGGAGCATGTGCCGCCGCACAGCCCTTTGCCGCCTGAATACATCCTTGCTGAGGGTCACGCGCCTTGGGTCTGGGCAGAGTTGGATCCTGACATGGCTTCCTTGTGCGGCCTTAAGTCTTTGCTTGCTGATCCAGATGCTGCTGAGAAAGCTGTGGAAGAAGGAAAGATGGCTAGAGCATCCAGCGAGAACGAAACCTTTGGCCAAGATGATGCTGACGTAGCGCGAGGTGTCCGGTTCTTGCCCGACGCAGCTGGCTACGATATGAAGCTGCCAGATGGTGTTCAAACCAGATGGCGCTATCGTATCGAACCAGGACAGCCGGCAATGGTCATGGCAGAATACCGCATCGGTGACCGTAATGTCCCCTTACCTCCAGACCATGCTCTTCGGCCCGCAGCAGAACGGGTGCTGCGATTCTTTCCACCTCACACCACGCTTCAGTTTGATGAATCCGCCAAGAAGCTTTTCGCGACAATGCGGACTCAAAGCTCTGTGCAAGCAACTCTGGCTACAGACTCTTGCCACTGTTCATCTTATGTGTTCACGGACTGTGCCATAGGGTGCAAAGCTGTCCTGCGTTAGACAAACCAAGCGTTTTATCTTTCCTGGTTTCGGCCTTCATGCCTTACTCAGGACAAAGGGCACTATGATGTTGCTGCTCGGCATGGAGTTGGGCCGTGGAAGCAAGGCTTGCTTTGCGCCGTGTTAGCCGCGTGGGACATTTTTGTGGATTCTCACACCTTGTCCCCGCCTGCAGACTTGCAAAGCCCGGAAGTTGTCCTTGGACGTGCGTATGTCGCCCGCGCCAAGAGTTTGCACAAAGTGCTCGAAGCTTTGCGGGATGCATGGGTGGAAGACACAGTCAACCTGCCTGAGGAGCAGATTCACCCCTTTGCTGATGTGGCTGGGTCTGTGCGTGGGGATTTGGTTCCGCCAGGCATGCCGCCGTTTCCGGCCACTCAATTGGGTCTGCCGTTCCCTGCCACCCAACCTGATGAAGCTGCCGACCTGCCGCGCGAGGATGATGCTGTGGAAGGCGACCTGCACACCTTGCCAGCTTTTCTATGCCCGGATGCATCGTCGTGTGATGAGGTGTTGCAAGTGAAGACGCCTGAGGCTGCGTGCAGCTTGTCTGATGGGTATGGGGCCGATGGAAAGACTGTGCAGCCTTTGGATCATGGACAGAAGCCTTTGTTCGCAGATCGAGAGATTTGCCAGACCACAGTGCTCCTTGGCAAGCCGGTCGTGACTTGGACCATGGTTCAGGGCCGCTTGCGAAGGGTTGTGGAGCAAGACGATGGTAGGAAAGTGCGAGCTGGCGTCGCAAAGAAGCAATGGGAAGCTGTTATGAAAGCAGCGACGCAAGCCTACCCCATTGCAGGTTTGGAGGATGAAGGCAAGGACTTGAAGGTCGTATTCTTTGCCCCGCCAAAACAAAGTGACGGTCGTCACAGGAGTGTCTACTATCACAACCTGCTCATGGATTGCTGCAAGGTGACGGGAAGGCATTTTCGGCAACTACTTGCTGTGGACGCCCAGCAGCCAGCAAGCAACAAACGCAGGAGGACATGAAAAGCGGCGAGTGATGATGGCTCGGGAGCGCGCAAACAATGCAAGCGAGTGTGAAAGAGGGCCGCGGCTCTGTCCCCTTGTGTGCCAGCCACAGACGGGGCGCAATTGCTCCTCTTCGGATAGCGGCTCCAGCGAAATGTCTTGATTGCTGTAAAAGGAGCTCAGCTTTTCCTGTGTGGTTGGTGTGCCCGTCCATAACCGGCTGCAAGCAACTTGCGTGCTGCTCCGCGTTTGAGGGGCGGCTGCAAAGTGCTTGTGCGCCAGCTGCGGACCGGCTGCCAATTGCACGACCGCTGCTGCTTGATTGCTTCTGGAGTGTGATGTCACAGTTTCATGGCTCTTCCGTATGCGCTTGGTATTCTGTTGTATTCTGTAGCTTGGCGTTCTTACAGGTACGGGACTGGTGTGATGATCTTTGTCAATATGCTCACGTGGCCGCGGCCATATGTGACACTCTGTTACTCCCTCCCATCTTTGCGCTTTGTACTGCCCCGGGGTTCCAATGCCGCTTCTCAAGGAGGACACGCGTGCCGCGCAGGAGGCGATTGACAAGTTGCTGGACCCGGAGCTGCTATTTGGTACCCCTTCCCCTCACGGTGCTTTTAGCTCTTCGGCCAGGAGTCTTCGACGGGAATATGACTCTTCCGCTAGGGCAACATCAAGCGGCTCCTCTTCGGATAGCGCGTCCGGCGAAATGTCTTGATTGTCGTAAAAGGGGGCTGAGCTTTTCCTGTCCACAACCGGCTGCAAGCAGCTTGCGTGCTGCTCCGCGTTGTGGGGCGGCTGCAAGGTGCTTGCTTGCCAGCTGCGGACCGGCTGCCACTTGCGTGACCACTGTCATTTGATGTCATACTTTCATGGCTTTTCCGTATGTGCTTGGTATGCTGTCACTGTAATTTGGAAGCCTTGCTGACCTTGATTCTGTCATCCGTGCTTGATTCTTACAGGTGAGAAAACGCTGCAGACTTTGAAGGCAACATCCTCTGACATTAACTCAGTGGCCGGCCTGCGTCTTTGACCTAAGCACCGTCTTTCTCCCCAACAGTGTAACAAATTCCTATCGGCGCAGTAGCTTCCTATGGCTTTAACAGCTTCTGAACGGGGTGTTGGCTTCTGATCTGCAGAACAGCTTGGTATAATGGTGTAACAGCTTCCTAACGGCGAGAGCTGCCTTACGCATCTGCTTTTTCCAAGTTTACCACACTCAGCCTGGCCCATAGAAAATGTACTGGCTCAACGCTGCGTAACATTATTCTGTCCGCTTTGCGGTGCGACCGCCCGCGCGGAAGCGCCTGTATGTAACAACGACCACACCAGCGCCAGCGCCGGAACAAAACAGTAACTAAAACAACAACCAACAACATCCACGACGACATTAACCGACAACAACATACAACACCCAACAACACACAACAACGAACGTCAACAATAACGCCGACACCAACAACAAGACAACACCAAACACCAACGGCGTCCTCCACAACAAACACATCAGCGCCAGCACTGGAGCAAACGCACACACAACCGCAAGATGCATGCAAACAACAACAACAACAACAACAACAAAAACAACAACAACAACAACAACAACAACAACAACAACTACTACTACTACTACTACCACTACCACTACCACTACCACTACTACTGCTACTCCTACTACTGCTACTACTACTCCTACTACTACTACTACTACTACTACTACTACTACTACTACTACTACT